TTTAAATAATGATATGACCCTCTGTTAATTAGTTTGAATTAACAAACAAAAGTAGATATAAGCACTAGACCCAACCAGTAGCAATGGTTACTAGAATAGAGCCTATTTTGTTACAGAATAATGCAAGACCTTATACAAACCACCTAGTAAAATTGATGCAGTTAGACATCAAGGTTTTGTTGCATCCTAGCTATTCATTTTCTGTCAGTTATCACTTGTCAGGGTTTTAGATGCATATCTGTGGCAGTAGGTGTACACCTGCGGGAACCAAATTGAAAATACTTTCCCATGCTTTGTCAATGCCCACGATCCCAGTTTTTACCATGATGAAATAAATTTACTGCCAGATTCTTGGCAATATTGTACTGATTATAATAATGCTTCTTTTAACTCCTGTATTTTAAGCTGCATAAGGATGTTTTAAAATATGTGTCTTAAAACAGTCATTTATTTTGTTTTCAACTGGGAACAGGTGGCTTTCTCATCAGAATTACAAAGTGACATTAAGACATAAGTTCAAAATCAATATGCAAATATCAGAATGTTGGAAATATACATTTGCTACTGTGGATAATGTCAGGTTGTACTATTTTTGCTCCTCTGTACTTCAGTTATTCCATGAGACACTTATAAATTTAAATGGTTTTTGATTAAGAAAAAGTAGTTGGACACAAACTTAATCTTTAAAACTGAGTTGACAGGTAACAGACACCTGTTGCAAACAAATTAATTTTCATTATATTTTAAGTAAAATGCAACATGATTTTTTCAAAATCCAGTGAAGTAATTATTAATTTTAATGAATTTTTATTGAATACTGCAATTTTGTAATGACTACTGTTTTATTTTCTGAAGGTTTTTAATTACAGAGTTTAACTTTTTCTGTTAGCAGATATTGGATGAGAAAAACTGATGTAAAAATTACTCTAGAACATGATTTAAGTATGCAAAAGTAATTTTTATTTATAATTGTTATTTTCTTGGAACTAAAACCAAAATTTAAAAAAATATTTAAATTATTACAATATGTTATAACATTTACATATCAGATGTTATTGTGTAAGTCAATGTTTTCCCAATGAAATTGATGCTAATTCAACATGACAAGTTATATTTGTGTTAATGATCTTAATGTTCTGTCTCTGACATTGAGCACCTTTATTGCAAAGTCTGCCTGACTTAATTCTTTTTTCTTCCTGACTTTCCTGATTGACAACATTTCTGGCTTTACAACATCTTTGTTATCACTGTGTATAGAATTAATATAAGTAAAAGGTTTGTCATTTAGCTGATTAATGTTACCTTCAGCATCCCAACTCCAGAGTCTGTCCACTCTTCAGCAAATGACTGCTTATATTTTTGATTTTTCTTTTTTATGCACTTCTCCTTGGTACAAGTTTTTTTTCTGTATTGTTTGTGCTTGTGTGTGCATTCACACACCTGTCTCTGCAAATGTGTGTTTGTATTCATGTGCCCATCTATTCAGATATGCGTGTGTAGGGTGTCATGATTATTTGTCCTTTCCTTGTTTTTTTTTTCCACTTTACATTCACTCCTTAGCTTTTCCTCTTTTCTTTCAATTGCTGCTATTTATTTCCAGCATTTTATCTAGACATGTTTATTGTTTTTAATTTTATGAGTGTTCTAGTCTTTTCTTGAGTTACGAAAGTTGTATTTCATTTTTTACATAAATAATTGATTTTGATGTTTAAATAATAAAGTAGATATTTATATATGTCTTCACTTGGCTATTATTTTGTTTCCTTATTTGATTTGGTGGTGTCTTAAGTATTAATTGTAAGAGGTTAGGTTTAATAATTAAATTTTTATTTATTATCATTTGAACTTATGTACTGATGTATATATTTGTACACTTGCACATATATACATGTATGTGTATATGTATACACACATCCACATATAATATATATATATATATATATATATATATATACACACATATAAATGTGTCTACACAAGTACATGTACACTTGTGTCTGTGCTTTGTTATTAATAAACTAGTGCTTAAATGGTAAAGTTATTTTTTCTATTTTTAAGATATTAATTACAGTTGGTTAGGTTTATATGTTTTCTTTGTTGTTTGAATATGTATATAGAGTGTATACTCCTGTACACTCACACACCTGCATGCACACATATACACACACACACACACACATACATACATACATATATGTTAAAAGATTGAAAAATTCAGCATTAACACAACCCAGAATTCAACCTTACAGTTTTATCATATGTTTTTGGTATATAATTATTTTGTAGCCATATATTTTCTCATTTATATAACCTAACCTAATGGCATAAGTAAAATCAGAAATTGATTAAATAACAAGAAGAGAACATAGACAATAGTAAAAAGTTGAATAGAAAGCAAAGAACAATAAAATAAGAGACTGAAAACTTTGCAAAACTAAGAAGAAAAATCAGGCTTTAAGAATGTCAGAAAAAAAGATTTGAGAAAAATTAAAATGCTAGCAAGCAAGAAAATATTTTGAAGATGCTTCTGTTACAAATGTAAACAAAGAGAAAAGAAGTAAAATATGAAGAAAATTGACAAAAGAAATGAAAGTAATGAAACTAATATATTTAAATGAACATCAAAGTTTAATTTAAACAAAGGATCACATAAAAACTGATTTCTCTATAGTAATTTTAGTGTTGGCTATAGAGCTACATTGGATGGGCTTTTGATGGCTGGCCTCTTAAGACAACCACTAAAATGGGCAGGTTGTGTTATGTTTTCAGCTAGTATTGTAAGCACCAAAATAATCAGTCCTTTCAAATTTGGTGATAATGCAGAGAATTGGCTGAAATGTTTTCTTTTGAGTGGTTCAGGTTACAAGAAAGAGTATATTCATATAAAAAATATTACTTTGCATTCTATAAAAATGACCATTGTTCATATTGCCCCTCCCCACCCAGTTTCAGAGATGAAATTAATAAAATAGACTCTAGGCATTTTTTAATCCCCTGCCAAAAGAGTAGTTCATTATTAAGAGATGTATATGAGGATAGAAAACAGTATTCAAGCAAAGAAAATCTTTGGTAGCAAGAAAAACTGGTGCAATGTTAAATTTGTAACTGTAAAAAGAGTTATCAAAATCAATAAATAAAAAGCTGGTTAAGGATGAAAAAGCCGATATTAACATACAAAATAATACCAAATCAAAGACATTTCCCTGGCCTATATCTTTTGAATTTATTTATAAATAAAAAATTATGTTGCACTTTGCTTCCATAATAAAACCTGACAACCCACCCTCCTCAAACAAATTATCAGTATTTTTTTCTTTTTTACAATTATTATCAATATTTTTTTTTTTTACAATGATGTTCAACCTGGACAAGGCCTGAAGATCACTTGAGTTAGAGGGTTACATGGAAAGCTAAAGATTGTAATGATCAGAGAAGCATCCACTTGGGAGTCAGTTCCACAAAGTAGTGGTTTGTGAGTAGAATCTGCTTGAGTAAATTTGATCAAATGAATACAAAGGAAATAAGGGTGGTTCATTGCAATGGGCATGGCATAGTGGGTCTTAGCCATAAAGGTTAGGATTGGTGGAACTGAGTATGATATTTTAAGCTGAAACCTACATCACAAACACACACATTATTTATATATATATATATATATATATATATATATCCTGAAAACATATGTAGTTAATAACAATTTTAATGTGAAAAAATTGATTTGCATAATATAATCTGACTGAGTCCTTAATAACAATCAAAAATTAATTTCTCAATTTATTGATTTCCCATCTTTAAAAAGAATTAAAAAAACTTGTATTAAGAACACAAAATTGATTATTTTATTTGGACATTTTGTGGATATAACTTGTTTCCACTTTTTACTAGAAACAAAAACATAGTGAAACATATTTTGTGTCTTACAAAGTAACAGACACAGACTTTTGCATGTAGAGGTTGCTATAAATACGATATCTAATACCAGGATGTAGATTTTCACTTTAATATCTTGTCTTACTTGATTGCTTTCTTTATTATGCCTCAGTTGTAAAACTGGTTCCTGTACAATCACCAAAGTTAAGCAACATGGTGCCTGATCAGTATCTAGATGGGTGATTACTTGGGAAAACTAGGTGATGGATGTGCAGGTGGTCTAATGGATAATGGCTACTCATTTATGTGCAAATACCCTTAGGAAAGATATGAATCCACCTCTTCTCTCCCCAGCTATGGGTTAATTAGTAAACCATTATTATTTTAAAACAATATTTTCTGAGTTTAAATAACCTACAAAGGGTTGAGAAGCCATAGAAAACCAATCAATCAATGTACTGATTAGATAATTGCTATTCAAATTTCTAGGATGAGAAGTTATCATTATTTATATCATTTACAGTTGAACTAATGTCTATATCTTTGTTGTTCCAATCACAATATTTTGGCCATTGTATTCTCTTTCATCTTCTTCAGATGTCTTTCAATCCATTCATTCTTGTCTATCACATTTGGGTTGTTACAAATTAGGTAAGTTATGCCTACATTTCTGGGACGTGGAGTTATTTACATTGAAGAAAGCTGGAGGACACAAAGGTCAAAATATTGTGATCATAACAACTAAGATGAGGACATTAATCTGACTGTAAATGTAAATAAAGAAGAATTTCTCTAACAAGCCAAAAAAAATGAAATTCAAGTTTAGACATCAGCAATAAATGTATGTGTAAAAACCAGATAACAATGTAACACCAGGGAGAGCCAAGAACAATCGATGTGCATTTTCAGGGTGATGCTGAGCAGCTACATTAATGCAGTTTTTTGTGCAGAAGTTGAACTTCTGAATTGGTGCAGAATTTGAATTTTGAGAGAGACTTGTTTGTATGTTTAAAAATTGAAAACTTGGAACATTTGTAAGTTGAAGATCACCTGGATTATCGTCTTTTCAAACTGTGTACCTAAAGCTATTTCCAATAATATCAAATGCTGGAACTCCATCCAGTTTTTACCTCCTTTTCATATTTCCTCTTCACTTCCTCCAGTTTCTTGTTGAATTCCTTTATCTGCTTTTCATGTTGCTGCTTTGCATGACGCATTTCTTTCTCAGCAGATTCTGTCTGCACAAAAATAAACAAAAACAAAATATAATGGCAACAAAACCAGGAGCAGATATTGTTTGTTTTATTTGAATTCATTTTATAATCTCGGCAAACTGAAGCTAACAGAATTGAAACCTCTCTAATGATTACAAGCAGAAAAATTAGACATCTCAAAATAACATTGTTTGTTAGAGAAAAAGAACTTCAGTGAGCATTAGGATTAGTAAGAGGCATTTCGGTTTATTTAACTGTAATATTTGGTTGGAGGCACACAAGTGGATATATAGTTAGCATTGAGGAAAATGGAATCAGTTAGCAGAGTTCAAGTTTTAACTGAGGCTGTTTTTGTTCATTTTGCACTAATGCTGATGGAAAAAGCATGATTCCATCTCTTCTCCTGCCCAGGCATGAGTCAAATAACTGAGCTCTTGAGTGTTGGGTGATAAACAATAAAAGACAACTCAATTCGAAACTGTGGAGAAGATAACAGAAAAATTCTCCATTATTATAACTCAAGAATATTTATAACAATGCAGAAGTTACAGATATTAAAAAAAAGAAAAGTGTGGAGAGCCACAATTATATAGCTCCTGAATGAATATGACACTTGAAGGGGAGTATTTATTTGGATAACTAGTATGGAATTTGTTTATGTCATTGGTTAAAATATCTTTATAAAAATCTTTTAGATAATAAAAAAAAAATGAGAAAATTAATATTATTGCCTCTAGACAATATGTGTGATCACATGACTGACAATAAGTAATATTTATGTTTGATTCTTTAAGAGGCCCAGATGAATAAATGCAAAAACTAGCAAAGTGGCTTCATTTAAATAAATGGGAAATAATTGTTACATTTGTTTTTTCAGTTTTCAACTTGAATGCTTAATAAAATGTTTCATTTCTTTCTGTGATTCCTTATATAAGAAAATGCCTGTCATGGTTATTTTAGACTGACTTCTATGGGACTGTGCTGAATATCCACTCATTAAATTTGGAAAAAGAAATGTTGGTTTGGTTAGTATGCAAACTGATAACAGATGCCTTTTCTCTACCAAATGTAGCAACAGAAATAAAATCTTTTTTCTTATCCAGTTTTAAAACCTTTTTTTTTTCATTTTAGTCTTAAAGAAAATGTAACTGAGAATTACAACCTGACATAATTTACAAATGAGTTTCTCATTAGACTGTTTGCTATTGTCATCATATTATCATACCATCATTGTGTTATTGTTATTCTTTGTGCTTTTGTCATATAGAAAAATATAAAGTTACATGTTCACCTAATGTACTTACTCATTTCTTTAATACTATTTTGTTTTGGTTTTAATAAAAAGTAACATAATTTCTATGGTAATACCTGATAGTAATTGTAGTTTGAATGAAGGAAGAAAAGACAATGGAAAGTTGCTTACCTTATGGTGGATGGTGGAGAAAGAAGCAACAATAGGTAGTGATTTCTTTTATAGAAAGAAGAGAGAATTATGGGAAGGTGGAGAAGATATAAAGCTCCTCCAAAAATAGGAGTCGGCATTTTTTTCTTGTTTGTTTCATATGAGAAATGTTACAAGAAGGAACAAGATTTAAGAGAAGGACAAGAGAATTCTGATTCTAGGGGAAGATTTTTAAAAAAATTTTTGAACCATAAGCTATTTCGACAATATGGAGTCTGGAATGATGAGATTGGATAGAGATGTGGTACCATCATTTAGTGGAGAAGGTGATATAATTGCCTGGATAAAGAAAGTGAAATTGGTCGCCAAACTTCAAAAAGTGCCAGACCTTGGTAGTTTCCTTCCACTTTTTCTGCAAGGAGATGTACTTGCCCTTTACCCTGAAATGAGTGATGAGGACCAGTTGGACGAGAACATGATAGAGAACAGACTAAAATGTTCACTGATGGGCCCTTTTGAAGCTTATGAAAAGCTCAAGTGAGTGAAATGAACTGGGGAATTAGTGGATATAATATCAAAAAGGTTGGTTGGGGCTGGCAGGATATCTAGGGAGAGGATTGGATCAGAGTTTGATGGGTTTCCCAGACAACATTTCTGTGTCACTGCAACAAGTGCCTGGTATAGAAAAGATGCTCTTAGTCAGCAAAAAACTTTTGGAACTCAGAACAGTGTCAGTGATTGCACAAAACACAGGACCAACAGAAAACAAAGGTCATATGGGATCATTGTGCGTTAGGTGGCATAGATGTTGGGGATCACACCTAATAATTAGAGATTGTAAGGAGCCACCAAGAACAAAAGTAATGCACTACAATTGTGAGAAATTGGGGAATACTGCGGGGTATTGCACTCAGGCTCAGGGAAACCAGCAAGGGAGAATACCACCTTCTACCAATCAGTCAGTGAGCAGGTGGGATAGCAGCTGCCCATCACTTTACTTAATCCCAAGCTTGTTAGTCGATGGAGAGGGAATGGCACTGTGAAAGCAGTTGACGGAAGGGAGGTAAAATGTAAAAGAACTTATTGAGAGGATTAACATTGTTGTCAGAAGAGACATGATCCATAAGCTGGGAGGTGCCACTGTAAAGAAAAAATGGCAAGGTAAAGTTTGGAGAGGTACACTGTGCTGCAACTGTCAAGGTTCTGAACCCTTGCAAAATTGAAGACAAGGACTTCACAGCAGATTTTGATGGAAAGAAATGGACTGTGGAATGGAATTGGATAGGAGAGTCTCTAGGATTAAAAAAAATAAAGTGGAGTACAACAAGAGTTCCTTGAAAGAAGAAAAAAGAGTTTGAGGAGGAGGTAGAAAGATGGATTATTGAGAGTATTCTCTTGCTGTGGAAGGATGAAGTGAAAGGAGTATTACTATTGATAGCATTGGTCCAAGCTACAAAATGAAAAGTCAGGCCAGTATTAAACTTTTAGGAGTGACATAATCAATGTGCATGAGGAAAAGATGAGAAAGCAAAGGTAGTTGATGGGAGGAACTTTGATCATGGACCTTAAGTCAGCCTACCTGCAGTTACATATGGCACTACTAGTTGTTGAACTATAAGGGGAAACTTACTGCCTGACTTGGTTGGGGTTCAGACTCAATGCTGCACTGAAAAAATTATGGCAGTGGTCCTAAAAACTGTGTTGATGAAGGATAATATGACAAAAGAAACCACTGAATCGTAAATTGTTACATCTATCATGATGTCATCAAAGGTATCAATGGAAGAAGTGGTTAATCATCTTAAGGAATTCAGATTGACAGCAAAGACACCAGAACCCTTAGAAGGAGCAGCACTGGGCCTTAAGTTGAAGAAAGGAAAAGTGGGTGAACTGGTGTTCGGAGGGGGGCAATAAGGTCCCATAGGTGACAGGAGAGATGAGGAGGCAGGAATTGTTCTCTGTTTGTAGAAAGTTGTTGGGGTACTACCCCATTGCTGGATGGCATGCAGCTATATGAAAAGAACAACAAGCAGGATCAATGATGAAACTGTCGCTGTGATGCAGGAGATCTTAACTGAGGTAAAAAAAAAAAAAAAGTGGCCCCTGTGACTGGGACCTAGCACATCTCTAAAATGAAAACAGGAATAGTGTGTTTTGATGCCAGCAGTATTGCTACAGGCATAGTCATCAAGATCAACAGTTTGGTGGTGATGGAAGATGCGTCATGGTTGAGAAAAAAATGTCGACTATAACCACATCAATGTGGCTGAATTATATGTTGTTCTAAAAGATGTTAATTTGATTTTAAAGTGAGCTTTAAGACAGGTGAAAATAAAGACTAAGTTGGATGAACTCTACTGTAAAGGAGAGCAGGAGAATATGGACGGAAGGTGCTGGAGAAATGATAGTGAAGCTGATATTAGGAATACTGGGAGAGTTGATATCCAAATTTGGATTACGAGTGAAACAAGTGTTTGTTGCCTTCAGAAAGAAATAAAGTAGACGTATTAACTTGAGTAAACAAAAAGTGGTTGGTCATCAATGTGGAGGAGGAGAAGGCTCCAAGTATGATGTCTAGGGGCCAGAGAACTAAAAGAGTTGCATGATATGCATCATATAGGAGTGGACAGGACTCTATATTTGGTACAAAAAGCCGACCCACTCATAAAAAGGGAGGAAGTTCAGAGGGTGGTCATGAATTGCGTTAGATGTTAATCGATTGACTCTGCCTCGAATGTGTATGATCCTTGTGAGATTGGAATGAGAAACAATTGAACGAGGTTAGCTGTTGATATAAGGCATTATTGCAGGGTGTGTACTTATCAATGATTAACTGTTGTCCTGGGTGACTGGCAATATGGAGAGAATTGCATGCAGAAATGGCAGCTGTGGTTGCAGAAGAAATGGAGAAGATGATTCTTGAACAAGGTCCAGTAGTGGAGGTGTTAATGGACAATGGCATGGTTTTCCACTTGGAACTCCTTCAAGTGATGCTTGAAAAATGGAAAATAAGAAAGTACTACAGAGCAATGTACAAGCCAAAGGAAAATGGAATAGTGAAATGACACCATTGGACCATGAAAGCAAGAATAGCCAAAAGTGGAGAAATATCACCTGTCGAAGCAACATTTTGGTACAACATGGTGTCAAAGGTCAGACAGAGAAACAAGATGGTACCACAAAGGTCAATTTTCACCTATGAGTGGAGGCACCCAAAAGATATATCCCTGAATACCAATGAGGAAGTGCTGGCCAGAATCCAAATAGGGGAAGAGGTTTAGGTGAAGCCACCAAATGCATGGTGCACAATGCAATGGAGGGGGGGAGTGGTGACTGGATTGCAATCACCTGACAACCTGACTGTTGATGGTATGCTGTGGCATATTTGGGATTTAAGGCAAGTTAGATGATGAGGTTGTGAATATGGAACATGGAGGAGATAGAAATGAGACCAACTCAAAGACCGCAGAGAGAGTGCAAAGCGCCAACTTCGGCATGTGACTATGTTGTGTGAAATGATCTTTTCGGATCATAGCGACCTGTAGTTTGAATAAAGAAAGAAAGGAGAATGGAATGTCCCTTACCTTGTGGTGAGGGAGAGAAAGAAATGGTGACAGACAGTGATTTCTTTTATAGAAAGATATTGTGGGAAGAGAGAATTATGAGAAGGAAGAAAAGCTATAAAACTCCTCCAAAAATAGGAGTCAGCATCTTTTTCATGTTTGTTTTGTATGAGAAATGTTGATTTGAAGGAATGAGATTTAAGAGGATGAGAGAGATCTGATCCTAGAAGAACTTTTTTCCTTATTTTTTGAACCATAGTAATCTTCAAGCTTCTGTTCTAAAAATATGGTCTCAAATTTGTAACCAGGTAAAAAGTTCAGTATCCGCTTGAAATTCTGTTTGATGAAACATTGTCAAACATTATTAATTTTGATAGTAAGATGATAGAAGGTCAAATTGGTAGCTGATCTCAAAAGTGGACTACAATCTGCTGTTAATTGAGGTAAGGAATGGTTTGTTAATTTTAATGCCTCCAAAACAAAACTTCATTCTGTTAATCATCTTTCTGCCTCCCATCAGAATGGCTGATGCTAATCTCCAGGAAAGTGACTTGTTGTGCCTTCTCTGGCTAACATTCTCAGTTGACATGAAGTGGAAAGATTATATTGAATCCATTGCTTACATCTTTATAAGTTTACCATTTGTCCATGCTACCACATATGGTCCGGTGCTCCTGTTATATATTTAGAGATTCTTGATAAAATTCAAAGAAGTATCTGCAATATTATTGGCCCTGGCCTGGCTTCTCAACTTCAATAATTTTCCTATCACCATAATGTAGTTTCCCTGTACCTTTTCTAAAAATAATTTCATGCTAATTGTTTGGATGAACTCTCCAAAATGTTACTTAAACTTTTATGCATTTAAGTGAAGTACTAGATTTGTGGCAAGGTTTCATTAGTTTTCAGTTAATATCGTTAGAGGTAACTGTAAGTTTTATTCTAATAGTTTCTTATCTCACACTTTTTACTTGTGGAACTCTCTTCTGGCTTTGTAATTTCCTGTCAACTTTGACTTTCAAAAATTTAAATGCAATGTCAATCATTATCTGCTGTCTTCTTGATTCCTCTTCTTCTATATTTATGCTCCTTAATAATGTTTCTCTTTTTTTCTTACTCTTTCACACTCAGCAACCTCTTGTGCCTTAGTGGCTTTACTGCCTTACTTGTGGTGAAATGATTAAAAAATTATTACTTTCATCTTAGTTCAGTTGCAACAATTCGGGCTCTCGTTCTATGGCCGTTATTAAAGAGTATGGATGGGAAATAAAGAATAAGTTCGTTGCAAGACAAACTTATAGAATGAAAGTCTGAGTAGTTACAATGTAAAGGAACTGAATTTAAGAAAAAAGAAATATTATAAAAAAAATAAACAATAATTCATTAAATAATAATTCAAGATTTTATTACAAGATATTCTTTGCTTTGGGACTGAGTTATTGAACATATCTAATAATTCTATTTGTGTAATGAAAAAGCAACAGAAATAAAAATGAAATACTAGTCAAAAATTAATAATACATGACAATGCTTCAAATAAAAATTCAAGATAATTTTATAATAAGCAACCTCCTTTTATACATCAAGATAAAAATAGTCTCAAATTTGTGATCTCCAAAAAAGTTGACTTGTAAAATCAAAACTCAGTATTTCTTTTGTTAGATATTATGAAATTAGTTATTCTATAAAGTGTTAAGAATGACAAATGGATGGAATAAGCCACAATGCATGTTGAGGACATTCTACATCTTAATAGTTATAAAAGAGAGTTTCTTTATTAATGGCAAAAATTTGAAGGAACAAAAACCGATTCATATAAAATGATTTCTTGTGTAATTAAAGAAAACAACAGCCAATGAAATATCAGAGAGGTTGGAAAAAACAAAAAAGGATAAATATTGAAGCAATTCGAATCCAACAAGAAATGCTACCCTGATGTGTTTTGTACCGAAAACAAACTCACCTGGGATCTCATGTCATTGTATATTTTAGCCTGCCCTTTCTCTACTTCAGATTTAAATTGTTCCATGGCTTTTTCGGCACGTTTACATTGTTCACTGCTTTTATTGATCAGCTCTTTGATTTCATTGTCTTTATCTCTGCAAAAGGAACAATAGAAAGAGTGTCTGTTAAAAGATATGGTTCAAATAATCATCTTCTGATCAGTTTAACTTGAATGGAAACATTAATAACTTCCTTTATATACGCACACACCATACATACATTCCTAGAGGTGTATTGTCTAATTATACACAGATATATTTTCAGTTTTAAAGACTGGTACAATATAAATTTTCTCCATTCTGAACTTTGTGCTCTACTAAGTTAATCTCTGTATCTATATTTGTTCATAGTTATCTCTATTCCCATGTTGCTAGAGCCCAGAATACACTGACTGTACCCTCTTGAAAAACTTAAATATAAACCCAATCAATATTTACCTGTAAACTCAAGAAGTATATACCTGACTATTGTTTATCTATGAACCCAAGTACAAACTCAACCAACATAATCAATATTTAACTATAGACTGAGGTATAATATAAAACAGATTTTGATATTAAATAACCCCAAAATGTTGATGTCATAAAATGCACCAACCCAGTCTAACCCAACTCAAAGCCTTTTGTCTTGTTATCTATCCCAGTCCATTCTTTCCTATCTATCTATCTAGGTTTTCAGGCTTGTCTAACAGGCTATTCACTACTGTGTAGTGAATAGAATACTTGTTCTCTAATTATGGCCTTTTGTCAGACTTTGCTTAGTAGATGGCTCTAATGAAAAAACAAAACTGAAAATAACTTCAAGATATACAAATTAATGAATGACAAAGACTTGAGAGAAGCCATAAAAAACATGAATGCCTTAAAATATAGAACAAAGTGAATCCCTTTGACAAAATTGCAGACATAAGAGTCAAAAACATCTCCCTTAAGGAAATGGAACTTAAAAGCCAAGTCAAAATAGATAATTATACATGATAGAAGTATGAAACCAAAGAAATAATGAAAGAAAAAAGATTAAATAAATGAAAAAGATAGTAAAGCAAAGGAAAAAGAAGTGAATTGTAAAGGGTTTTGCTCCTTCAAGATGCTTTCAGATAAAGCATTGAAGAGAAAGATAGAAACAAGAAAACAGGAAGATGTAAGCCTCAAATAGATACACAAAAATACAGAGAACAAAAGCTACAGTAGGGAAACTTTCAAAGATATTCTCTTTGACTATTGCTGCATATCTATTTCAGATATTGATCTCATCCTGCTAGAAAACCAACCAGTCACCAGCCATTTGTTGAGTCATTTGTTTGGATTGGGGTAGTTGCCTATTTGGTGGAGTGCAGCTATAGTAAAACTGCATCAATACTGGAACAACACTGATGCAGTGACAATATGTGCTATGGAAATATGAAAGCGACATTGATCTGAAGACTGCCAAACAATATAGATCTGCTGTCTTTGCCCAAATCAATCACATCAGCTGAGATCAATATGCTCTCATTCTCTCTTTTAGGGATTCCAATGTAGATTTCAGCTGTGATACCTTCTCTGTTGCTTTTAATTCAAAACAAAGATGGTTTAGTGAGAGGAATATTCTTGAATGCAAAGGTTCATATATTTTTGAAGTTCAGTGAACACATTTTACTGTAATGCTTGGGTTTTAAGGGTGATTACATTTGTTAACTGAACACAAAGACCTTTTAAAAAACAAAGCTTTGTTGAACAAAGTTCTAATGTATTCCCATTTTGTATTTTACGCAATATTTTATATAGAAGAGAAATTCCGAAAAATCTAAACTATAAAACAACACCTGCATACAGGAGGATACAGAAAATTCTTGGCCTAAGCAAAAAGACCACCAAAAACAAATATTCTGAATTTCTGGCATGAAGAGATCATTACCTGTGGACTATTCTCATCATCTTTGTTGTTCTTTTTATCACGTTTCAGTTGTGCCCTCTGGACTTCATCAGGTGTATGTAAATGTGGCTAACTTACATTGAATTTTGAACAGCACCCTTTATTTAATCTAGTGAGGTAGGATGTTCTCATTCCACTGCCCATGTCTAGGGATATCTCATCTAGTTGTTGGTGGGACAATGTAGATTAAAGTGTTCATTCATGAATTTGGTGATATAGTAATTGTGAATTCAATTCCTGATCCAGGCAGTGTTTACTTGGACTCAGTGGTAAGGGGTGAGCACTAACAGAGCAGTAATAAAGCAAGAACTAGATGCAGGTGTAGTGCAAAAAAAAAAAAAAAACAATCTCCATAGATTAAATAAAAGATTCAGTTTAAAATTCTCTGTAGTTTACCTGGTTTGACAGGCTGGAGGGTACAGCAGCCAAAATGTGGTGATAAAAAAAAAACGAACAAAGATGAGGACAATAGTCAGCATGTAAATAATGTAAATTTTTTTTTAGAAAAGCTAAAGCTGAAAAATTTTCATTATCTACTTCATATATGTTAGTAAGAAGAAATACATTAAGATTGTGTCTTGTGTTGTTATATCCAAAGTTATTTTCCCTCCTCCATGTTGGATATTCCTGCTAGTCACTAAAGATTTTACCTTTTAATCTGAAAATTTAATAGAAACCATATTTGGCATGATTTTACGTGTTTATATTATAACAGACACATCCTTAAAACATGTTTTCTAAGTTGACCAACTTCAAAGAAAATAAAACTTTTTTTTATTAAATATTATAAATGAAAAATGGTATACCAACTAAGAAAAAAACCAACAAAGTAGAATTTGGCTTATAATTTAAATAAAAAAGTAGATTTACATATCATTTAAAATTTATATCAAATTATCATTATTGTAAAGTTTCATCTTTCTAACATCAATAATGATTGATTTAAATTTTAATACCTTTCAACTAAATACACTTAGAAATCAATTTAAAAAAAAAAAAAAAAAAAACAATTATGCACCGATGATATATTTCAATTTTATTCTTTCCCCTTTACAAAAAAAAAAAAAACACAATTGCTTGCACGTATATATTTTTTCAAGTACTTTTTTTGTCAAGGATAAAATTTAAAATTTTGTTGTAAAACATCTTCATATAAAAAAGCTATATTTTATAAAATTTTATAGCTACTTGTTTAATTTTTCTCTAAATGTATAGAAGTTTAAAGAAGGACTGACAAAAATTGAAACTTCCACAAATTCATAGCTTATCTGTAGATGGTGACAAGTTACAATGAATTAAGTTTGCCTATCACTCAGTTCACACTCCTTCCAACCTTTTGAACATAAGCAGAGGTTTATTCCTTGTTTCCTGTTTAGGATTGGGTTTCCAGTTCCTGCTTCCACACTATACTTCTAATGTCTCCAACTGAACTCTGAAATATTATTCAATAATTAACTCTTGGCCTCTTCAAGTCGAGAGTTGGCTGTTATCTTTCTTGCATAATCCCAAGACATTCACTTCTTGCTCTTTCTTACGCTCATACAACATCACACAGTAACCTTCTACTTTGAGTGGCTTTTGGGCCTTGTAATGGGTGAACATTAGTAAAAGAAAATATATAAACTGATGTTCTGGTTACTATTGTACTCAAGTAGAACACAAAATAAAAGAAACAATGAAAGGCACGACATAAATAGAAAAGAATGAACAAAGTATCAATTATCATTATTTGAATAGAAAATAATTCTTTGAATTGCAGACGTATACAGAGTCTAAAACTGAGTAGAATAGGCAATAAAAGATTCAAATGAAAGGATAACATAAATGGAGTTATATTTTATCATATACCCCTTTCCATTCTGACTATTATACTCAATGACCATAAGAATGGACAGAATCAGGAATGTGTGAGGGTCAAGGATTTCTAAATAAAGAAGCTACAGCTTTTGAAAGACAATATTCATTCTATCATGATCACCATCAGTTAAGTACTTTTGAGAAAGCAGTGTTGGAGAAAGATCTCAAATTCATCACCACCATCATACTTAGGCATCAAAGAGATAATGGAGGAGGCAGCTTTTAGAACCCCTGCCGAGTTCAGGCTGATGAGATGGAAAGTGAAACAGGCCTTCCAGAAAGCAAAGCCTTCGAAATTAAACATCACAAAGGAGGAAAAATCAACTCTATCGAAGCCTTGTCAAACAAATACTGAAATCATCATTCTGCTAGATCAGAACAACAAATTGGAATACACTCAGAAATATTAGCTAACTTACTTGGGGGATGATGACTACAGCAAATTAAAACATGTCCTGACCCCAAGATTCACAGCAAAGAACAAGGATTACTTCATTGGAAGTGAATACAAACAGCTAACCCAACATTACAGTAAAATGCCATACATGGCCTTCTCAAAATACCACTGAGGCTTATAGTCAGTTTTTGAAGATCAGCCTCTCATCTACTGAGCAGATTCTTTGTAGAATTATCAATCTATTAATAGGTAAGTTTCCATCCCAACAAAACATGTAAACAACTCTGTCCAATTTGTGGAGACCATCAGACATGATCCTATTTGTACCAATCAGATGGTGAGCTTTAATGTTACAAGTCTATTTACCAAGGTTCCAATTCATAAAGATCTATTTGAATCAAGTTAAAATCAAACATCTCTCTAGAATGTACAGCGCTTCCAATAGAAGAAAATGTTGACATTTTCAGTTCAAACACTCTATGCTTTCAGTTGTGTTGCAACATTTAATATAAAGAAGATGGCTTTGCTATGTGATCACCATTATCTCCAGTAATGGTAAACATATATATATACATTGAAGAAATTGCTATAGAAAATCAACTGGCCTTTTTGGATGTGTTAATAACTATGACAGAGCATGAGTTCAAGACTTCCATATATAATAAACCAACATTCACTGGATAATACCTAATTTCAATTCCTGCCATCCATACAATATTAAGAAAGGTATAATCTGCTGCCTCTAACACTGGGTCAATTTCATGTGGCAGCCCAGATATATACAAACTGGAGATGATTGAAATTAGAAGCACCCTGCAAGCATAACATTAGCTTCTTTGATCAGGAGAGTTGAAGACAACAATAAAAAAATCTGTCATGTTCTGTTTACATAAGGGATACATCTGAAAAGATTCAGAATATCTGTGGTCCTTACAAAATCAGGATATATTATGAAGCAGTTCCAGCCTTTGGAGTTATCTCTCCTGAACCAAGCTCCACATAGAAGAAGACATGACCAAGACAGCTTTAATGGAAGAGAGACACAGTGTGTCTCTTCCAGTAAAGATGGAAGAACATTGAAAAGCTCTAGTCTACAGAGATACAATGAAAAACTTGTTAAATTCAGGCAACTTTATCAGAAGACCTAGCATAAAGATGAACACCATCGGGTGAAGAAAGAAAAGATTCATACAATTCCACCACATGAATATAGGCATTGGGCTTATGGTGCCAAAATTATGTCATTGGATTATCTGTATTATCTAAGAGACCACATTGTCTAGCAGATTAAAACACTGGTTCAACCATATTTGTTTCCTTCGCAGTTGTGAGCTTAAACTTAGAGAGAGTCAAGTGTGGAAAAGGCATGAGTGCTCTGGTTTTGTAGAGAAAACAGAAAAGCATCATAAAAGCAAATCAACTAGAAGGTATTAGTCTCTGTTTTTAGAGAGTCAAACTTTATTATACAAAGAAAGTGCAACAAATTCATGTAAATAAATCCAATTTTTATACTCATAGAAATATAAATATATGATTAACATAACATTTCAGACACCTGCATAAATCATCATTTTAAGATAATGATTTTAATTCAAGTTAATATGGACTCCTTGGTATTCTATTAGTTTCATCAGTCTTTCACTCATTGATTTTATTAACATTTTTACTGTTTCAAATTTAGCATCATTTACAATAATTTTTTTTTTTTTGCTTTACTTGAATATTGTTTTTGATTCTCACAGACATCTCTTTTAATGATGAACCACTCATTTTCTACTGGATTAATATCTGGAGAAGCTAGGAACCATTTCTATAAATTTGATATCTTGGGAATAACTTTTGGCAAGGTGGGCAATTGTCATCTTTGAAGAATGCAAAGGAACATTGTCTGTCATTAATATACTCTTTAGCTTAAAGACACATTTTTTTTGTGACCAGTAACACTCAAAAATATCTTGTCCATGATATTACAATAATTCTCAGCATTTTCCTTCAACTATCAGTTTTGAACGAGCCTATAATTTTACTGCTTACAATTCTAGCCACATATATTTACTTCATCTCACCCTCATGTTAGCTGACTATTTCCATGAAGGATCCAACCTTTTGCCCAATATAGCACTTATTTTAACACATATATTTACTGTTGAGAAAGACAATGTTTAATGTTTCTTCTGATGTTAACTTAGAGGTGATAGTTTGGTTGTTTTCATGTCTTTAACCAATTTACTTAATATTTTGTATCTTTGCTCTTAAAATATTTTCTTTTTAGTCAATCTACTTTTCTTCATTATTACACATTTCATTTTTCTCGGATCTCTTTGACATTTCCCACATTGATTTGTCTATGGTCTCTGTTCAACATTTATGCAATTTACATCATTGTCTCCTCATCACTTGATAACTTTATAATATTTTGTTTATATTTTGAGTTTATATAGTTCTTACAACCAAGGGCAATTTTTATGTCTGAAATTAAAGAATAACTATATTATTATATATCATATATATATTTACAATATGATGAGCAATACTTGAGTTGTATGAAATATCACACAAGTTATGGTTAACATTTCTAATGCAAAACAGATATTATAAGCTAAAATGTGCATAGTGTATTTATGATATAAATATAAGTATATTCTAAACATGTTGCCAATATTGGTTAGTCAATACTAATTATGCAAATATTAATTTGCATAATACAATTTAATATAGTGTATGAACATAAGAAAAACAAATACAGGAACAACAAGAATATTGTTAATAATTATAATTGCATATTTGAAAACCTTTCAAAAGATTATAATATAGAATAATAATTGGAAACTGGGCTCTACTGATATTAATAGAAACAGTAAAGCAAAAATAAGAAAGAATAAAAGCTAGAAGACTGTAAGAAAAGATGTGAACATTAAAAGAACATTATTAGTGGTAAGAAAAAGTAAAAAAGAATGATGACAAAAGTAATGTTATGGTTGAAATAAATAATGATGAAACCATCTAAGATATGCCTGATGGGATCTAAGACTAAAAACATATACTCTTTTTCTCTTTTCTAGAATTGTCATGCTGAGATCAAAGGCAAAAAATGAGCAATCAGTGTGGCATTTCATAGCTACCTGATGACAGCCTCAAGCCTCTGCAAGGATTTCAGGTATTTGACCTGACTTTCTGAAAGTTCTTTCTCCAGTGCTTGTATCTGAAAGAAGGGGGTTAATAAAAATCATTAAATCTCATTGAAAAGTAGAAGACATTTTCAGCCTCAGTACATACATGACCAAAAGTGCAACAAGATGAAAAGATAATATTGCACTGATAAGGGACAGTATTTGACTTTTGATTTAAAAGTTACTTTCTGACAATTTCCAACTTTTTTTTCACTTCCTTATTAGCCTTCAGCAACAAAAGAGTTCCAATTGTTGGACTGAACTTATCAGCCACACTGTCAGATGATTGTAACCTTTTCAACTTTTTACTTTCTCTGACAGTGGAATGGTTCTTCTATTGAAAATGTTCATTCAAAGTGACATATTTTTTTTGGTTTCTTTTTATTCAGAAGATTTAAGTGGGAAATGTCTGATGTATATCACAGAACTAAATTTACTCAAATCAAACTCAGAAGAAAACAATATCAAATTTTGGTACCGATTTCAGATACTTCCATTATTTTTCATCCAATGAAATATTTAACAGAACATAAATCAGACCCAGTGTATCATTAAAAAACCTACAATGGCTAAATTTGGGTACCAATTATGAAATAAATCAAGAAAATTTTATAACTTGGTGTCCTCAACATTTTTTATACTCTTTTTGGTATCTTTAACTTTCATTAAATGAAGATCCAAATTCTGTTTGTTGTGAAATCACTTTCAAACAAAATCTAGATTTTTTGGTGGATATTCTGACAGGACAGATGCATCCCAATTTTGACTTTTTTCATAATAAAAGTCTTTCCATAACGAATATACCTTAGTAGTTTTCATTTGGGGTTAAATTCTCCCTCACCCCAAACAGAATAAAGTTTTATAAAAGTCATTTAAAAAAATATTTTATGTATGGTGATCTTACTGTTGTATATATCTTAATACAAAAGAACAGAAGAGATTAAAATTTGATGTAGGTTTTTTTTTTTTTTTAAAATACTGTGCCAAAGCTTTTTTAAAAAGATTTTGCTTGCATAAAGGAATTTTATATATCTTAAAAGATTAGGTTGCTGCAAAAATTTTAAAAATTCAAAGATTTAAATTCATCATGTCCAGAAATGTTTAAAATATCATCTGAATGCAACTCTGTTCTTTCAGGTCAATAAGGAATTAAGGTTTCAAATGAATAAATCTTAAAGAAGATAATCGTTCATCGGACTAGTGCTACAAAATCACAAACAAGGACCTTTACCAAATAACAAAAACCATATCACTAGAACTCTTCCAACAGCAACAACAACTGAAATAGGGGGGGGCACAAGTAATGAGAAGAGGAAAATAATGATAGAATCAAGCTGTTAACTTTCCACACGACCAAAAAGAAAAGATTTTGCTGGAAACTCTTATTGAGTCTAGAAAGTAGAATTGAAAAGTTTAATTTGCTGAAAAATTGTTTTAAGAAAAAGATTTGTCAAATATTAACTGACATTAGCACTAATTGTTTGATCAAATGTTTCCTGTATGGAAACAGATAATATCTTCTTTATTATCATTCAGTTATTAAAATATTTTTCCTGGTTTGCTCTGACCTCATATCATTATTCAAATAAAGTGTGAGTTCCATTAAGAAAGAATGATTCTACTTTTGAGTTGATTATTTCTTCAAGGAATTATTGATATCTTAAAACTTATCTGAACTACTGACAAGGTGAGACGCGTTGCAGGAAGTGATACAAGTTGTAGGGATACAAAAGGCAATTATCTCCTTTTGGTAGAGATGAAGTCATGTGGGTCTGGTAATAGCTGCTTAGTGACAGCACTTCATAGAGTAACAAAAGTGGCTAGTCCCTAGGTCAGTTTCCTGGAGTCAAACAAAGTATTTGCCTTATTTGGGGAACCAGTTGCTACGTGTCACAGCTTATAAATGTATGGTGACATTTTCCTATGGAAATATATTTACAACATGTAGACACTATCTCAGACTCCTAGTTCTCAATTTGACTCACCATTTCCTTGTTTGAGGGGAATATATCCTTGCTAGTGACATAACAGATGAATCTGGTCCACTTGAATCTGGAATCCTAAATATGGCTTCTCCAGAAACACAGAAGCAGCTCTGGCAAACCCAATTCCTGTTGGAAATTATTATAAGTCAGATATTATCTTTTCATTTCCTTCCATTCTGCTTGTTGCTGCATATATGTTATAGTTTCTCTGCATGGGATGCATATAAATATGTATATATAATTTTGTGTATGACTTCATCATATAAAACACTAAGAACAAAATATGTTTGTCATTCCTTTCAGATGTTATTATATCAAGGATATAATAATGCCCATAATGGGTGGAAATACAAGCTAGGGGAATAAAATTTTCTTCCATTGCACGCACCTTATCTGGTGACTTATCCAACATATGATATTATTAGTATATCATAATCAGAAGGTGAGAGGTGTAGAGAATATGCCACATGTGGGAAGAACTTTCTATTTCTACTTCATGATCATTTGCTGTGTCATACTTACTACATGAACACTGATATTATCATGTAGCCAAATGACTGACTGACTTCCTAAACCAGAAAAGGTCTTTCCCAATGCATCATTCAAATGTGTCATTTAGTTTACAAAACACAAAACAGATTCTCTTTAGGTTGAGATAAATGAAGACTATTCTGGATTTAATCACAGTTTTCTTAGGTTCTTCTAATAAATTAATTTTTCCCCATCACTATCTTATCCAAAAATTACTAACCAGTGTCCCATGTGTAGTTTATATTCAAAAATGATTTTTACCAAACTAATGAAAAATTTCTGTTCTGTATAACCATTTACAAAGCTAATTAAACTTTAAAGACACTTCTAACATCTCCCTAACATTGTGTAAAATATGACACAAAATTTTTAGCATCAACTTTATATTTATGAAAGATTTCTAAGGATCTTGTAAAATACAAAATACATTTTTAACACTAGTTCATAAAATATATTCAGTACTGAATAATTTTAATGCTACAGACTTGGGTAATTTTAGAAAGCCTCTCTGCAATTATCTAAGTTGTAGAAATAATTTTTTATGTATCTATAGACATCACTTTGAAATTGTTACTTCCTTTCAAAAGTACATTTTTCATTTAATATTTTTAACAAAACTCATATTAAACTGAGTACGCAACTATTATGATTACAACTAATATGACTCTCAATAAGATAGCATTTTAAATATGATTTTTTTCTTTCTAAAATACTTTCTCCTTTCAGGATGTGGCCGATCAGGGTTCTCCACAACTTCCTTTTCTCTAATATCTCTAAACTAGGCATTTCTATAACTGCTCTTGGCAAAGATAATGGAATGATTTCCAAATGTATTCTCCATGGATTTAATTCAGAGTTGCCCATCTCCTAGGCTAGTTGACCTATCAAGGTTAAAATGTTCAGTCTTCCTTATTATTTTATTTATAGTTGGAGAAAAAAAGGAAAAATTCATGCCTTTTCAAAGGGCATTAGCAAAGATGGATAAATGCAACGGAGTCTCATATGCACTTTGAACTCCAATCACTTTATTCCATTTTTCATGCCAATAACCATCACATCACTCATGCATTCCAAAGAAGTTTAAAGATTGAGAAAGAAAATTTTACTAAATAAGTAAGATTTTCTTTTTCTCCATCCTGAATGGGTTTCTTCACTCTGACTTTTTGATTACAATTCTTTAATAATTTATATTGAGGAATTTACATGTGAAACACAAGATTTTATGGATATGTTGGGATATTGTGCAATTTATTCTTTAAGTTATGAACAAATAATAACAGTCTAGAAATTATTGAAGATTCTAAGTTCTATCAATAAAATAAGGAAACAGGCTTCATTAATTTATGTGAAAGTTAATGAGTCTATCTATTGGGAGACCAATTGCACACCCACCCCTTCCGCCCAAAGAGCCATTTATGAGTGTGCGTTATATCTCCAGTACCAGGAATAATGAAAGAATTATTCAGCAGACATTTAATATATATGTTAATTGCCATTATCACCTGATCTTTAGCACATCCATAGAAGGAGGTGCTGAAAAGTTCTTGGCTCAACCAAGAAGGGATTACCCTGCTTCCAGTTCTGATGTTTGGTCATTTCATCAGATTTGGAGAAGTGGGTTTGGATGAAAACATTTCAGTACCCCATCGTAACTATTGTATGGATGTATATATGTGTGTGCATATGTATACACACACACACACACACACACACACACACACAGACACACACTTATATATATATAAATGTGTGTGTGCTGCATAGAAAATGACGTTTATTTTTCCTAATTTTGTTTTGCCTCATCTTGATCCTTTTTGACTCACTCATCCCCATTCAATAAGCAATGATTTAAAACAGGCCATTTATTTTATAATTAGGCTTAGATAAACACTGTGAAATTCTCCATGAAATTGTCATGCAAATTAGATGCTGTATTGAATGTCATTCATTTTCATTTGCCGTCTGTTTTTTCCTTTCCTTTTCTTTTGAGGCCTAAGAGAAAAATCATACACTAAAGTACAATTTTTATAAACACACACGAGGGTGGTGATGAAAAGTTCTTGCCCTGACGCACTTCCCAAAATTTGACCAAACATTAATACTTTTTGAAAGGGCTTCTTGCTCACATATATATGAGTGCATCATTAAATCTCCAGCCTGATATGTAGTAGCTAAATATTGGTCTGTAATTTTCACTGTATAATATTTGGTTCAAATATTTAATAAGAAAGCATTTTGTCAAATGCATTGACAAAGAAGAAGATTATGTTGAAAAATACCTTTTAGCAGTGAAAATAAATACTTATTTATCATTTGTGTATATACTTTTATAAATGTGTTTGTTTACTTTATATATATATATATATTTCTCTCTCTCTCCCCCTATATCTATATTTGAGGGGATGCTAAACATCTTGTTTTGACTAAGCTCTTTGAAAATAATACTGTGTTTGGTCAGATTTTGGTCAAGTGGATTGGGTCAAAATCTTTTCAGCATCCATACACACACACACAGA